TTTCAGCCAGAAGTGGAAACTATAAATGGAAGGCCATTTCTAAATCTAAAGCGTTGTCAACAATCTGCTCTCACAAACCATTTAGTAACACAGTCAGATGAATCCGTGATCAATCAGAAGACATAAAAGAAGCAGTTTGTTATTTGCCAGGCTTTTAAGTATTTTTTTTAAACCTTGACTTTCTCTGCAATGTTATGATGTTACAAGTTATATAGGTTGATAGGTATGTGTAAGTGTGTATCTGGAAAAGTAATACTGCATACATTGAAACCACTTTAAAGGAGCAATTTGATGGCCATGAAAATCCTTAAGGAGGAAACACTGAGCCTCTGTTAAGGCGTTGGATGGGTGAAGCATTGGGACAGCAAGCTACAGTTACTACTTTGCTTCCGTATTGACTCCTGGTTAGCCTTGGACATGTTCCTTAATTTCCTTCTGTTTTCCTTCTCAGTTTCTATGATGATTGAAGATATGAAATTAACATTCAAAAGGTACCTGAATGCTGCAGCACTAAGGAAAAGGCTCTGAATTCACACCATCTTGTGGCACATCACTCGTATCTTCTGAGTTTCAGTTACTAACTTCAGGAGCTGATGAAATTGCACAGAATTGCCCCCCACCTTGATTTCAACTGACAGCACCAAAAAGGTAGGAATCCTGAAATTCCTTGCCCATCTTTAGAAGATCCTTTTTCTCTCCTAGGGCTTTCTAACTGTCCCATTTCTCTTTCTGAACAATCTGCAGGACCCAAAGTATTAATTGCTTGAATATAAAATGTAATTTAGAAGATATGAAAAGATAAGAGAGCATGAGCCTGCTTTCAGTCACTGTCCTCACTTACTCAAATTGAAGGAATGCAATTTACATTATCACCCTTGGTTTATACTTTAATTGCAAAGCGTAACATGAATGAATAAAGCAAAAGTCCTTGATGTTAAAAAAAAAACAACCATCCAACCCTACATAATTTATTTTGTCTGAATCATTAGGGGTTAAAATCTATCTGGTAACACGCATGCACAATATTGGATCTCAGAAGCGGATTCCGTGTGTAATAAGGTGAGAAACAACTGGGTCAGGAGTTTGTCTAGGGAGGGCAGAAACATAGATGTTACTGCCTACTAAATTTCTGGGCCAGTTTTCACGAGGCTCTGTACCAGTCAGTGTTAAAACTATTATCAGAAATATGCTGGGGAAAAGCGCAGGCACAAGGACAGCATTACTGCAGTCTGCGAGTGTATCCTGTTATCTGTTCTGCCTGGAAAGGCATTCAACACCGGACTAAAATAGCAATAAGGGTAGCTGTGCCTAGGAAACCATACAGTCTTCTGTTAGCTTCCTACACGATCACCAAAGAGAGGAGACTTCCCCTGAAGTTTTGCATGCTGCTGCTACTTATATAATTTCTCTCTGCGTCAACAAGGCTTATATGGCTTTCCTAAGCATTTCTGCCTGTTATTCAGCATCAGTGAGGGTGCTGAGAATGTAGTGGGGTGGAAAGGCTCCTTCAGGAATGTGGAGAGCCTGCTAGATCGGAGCTGCTTTCAGTGGTACTGATCTGTAAACTCAGTCTGTGCTTGAAGGCACTGGGTACTTTCTGCCCCACTGAACGGCAAACCAGAGAGCAGGACAGGCTGGGAAGTAACACCCTGCAGCAGTATGGGCAGTGCTTGACTGGAGGGAAAACATGCTGGGAAACTGAAGCATAATCTATCTATTATTATACTCATATTGGAGATAATTATACTTGCAGTGTCTGATTGTACAGCCATGTTGTGCTGGTGGGTCTGCCCCGCAAGTCAGAGGCAATTAAGGATATTTTCATAAGGGGGATTCAGTGTCCCTTGTGCAGGTCTGGAGAGCAGCCCTTTAAAAAAGATCCTCAAGAAAAATTTCCCCCTTGTTTTTAAGGAACTACAATCCAGACAATGAAACTTGATTTTGTTTCCAGGTTCCCTGTCGGACCAACAAAACAGAGAAGACCTATGGAGCCTTCAGTGGCAGGCAAAGGCAAATATGGACACGGGCAGATCTGACTGGCTAAAGGCATGTACCACCAGAACTCGTTCGGAAATGACAGCAAGGTAACTCATTTTAAGGAGGGAGCTGAACAGAGACTGGCTGAAGCTCTATCACAGACAGCAATATGAGAAGGAAACAGAAAGGTGATACCAGAAGAAAGACAAAAGACAGGTAGATGTTTAGGCAGAAGAAGGGTAGGAAGAAACAAGGAGGGTTGTGCAAGCAAGGATAAAAGATATCCTTGCTATCTTGGTGTAAAAGGTCCATCCATATGTCATTAAAGAGGCTACAATGGGTAGAGTAAAGGCTTAGATGAGAGAGAGAGAGGGAGAGAATCCATGGCTTCTAGATGAAGCAGGAGATCGTCACAGCACAGGATGGGTGGCGTAACAGATGCAAGGTCAGAGAACAGGGTTTTGACATATTGAAAGGAGAGCAATACATCTGGGAACTGATTGTGTAGAAAGAAGCTGAGATCACTAGTTGAATGTGACTCAGAAGAAACGATGATTTGGTAAATGCTTACATTTAGTAAGTGAACATGTACAAAATGTCAGAGACCTGTATGAGCTCCGTTCATTGCTCAATGTCCCTACTGTGACCTGGCTAAACGTTAACTGTGTGGTCAGAGCCTGTGTTTGGTGTCGCCTATTGATTTAAGTGGTTAACGCTGATCTTCCTAAGAGGTGTTTATGTAGTTTGTATAGTACACAATAGACTTTTCCCTTTGTGTTTTCTCCATTTAATTTTGCTGTCACAGTCTGCCTTCCTAGCTCTCTCAAAAACTGAGAGGGTAATTGAAAAAACTAGTTACTAATTGTGGAAATGCTCGCCTTAGAGAGTTCGCAATGCTCTTCAAGTAAACGTTATTATACTGAAAGCTATGTAAAATCTCAGGGGTCCAGAGACATTTTCTCTCAAATTCTCTGCTCCAGTTTCAGGCAAAAAGTCCATTAATGCCTCAAAGGCAGGAGAAAGGGAAGGGAGCGAATGTGCTCGAGCCATTTGAAATGACCCCTCCGCTGGGGATTAGTGTAGCATCTCTGGTTGTCAAAACCCTGTCTCCTCCATCAAGGCGCAACAGACCTACTTGCAGTTACACTGATGCGTGCAGAGCTATTGCATGGCTTCCCTCTGATACACAGCACATAAAAAATACACATGAATATAGCAACTGGGTTGCTTTGAAGTTCTGCAGGGTTTAGTATTTTTATCATGCCTCTTAGCGGCACAGTCCCAGTAAACTGACAACGTATTGACACATCTGCCTTGGGAGATTAGTACCTACACAGCCAAAAGCAAGTAACGGATCTGGCAACATCCACGCAAATTGTTCACTCTGTTCCTCCAGAAGGCCCCAAACCTCGGCTGTTTTGTCTGACAGACGCTGGCAGGCTGCTGGTTTCACACCAGTCTCTTTCCCCAGTACTGTCCCAGTGGCATCAGGTGCTCCAAGAATCAGCCCTGCCTGCCATGACCTGATGCCAAACTGCAGCTGCTCTCTTCTCCCAAAGACAACGTGAGAAGCCGCCTTGTTCCTGCCAAGCAGGTCCACCTTCTGCTCATGAGAGTTATCTATCTGATTTTTCCATGCAAAGTGCTACATTCCTGCCCTCTAGGTTCAAGTATCTCGCAGTTTCATTTCCTGAAATTGAACAGAACTGTTTAAAAATGAAACTTCTATATTCCCACCATAAAACCTGCCTCAGGATGGGGTTTAACTTTGCAGTTGCCCAAATCTCTCAGAGGAATGTCACAATTCAGATGTGGGAAACCAAGAAACAAGCTCTGCATCCCACAAAAAAAAAATTTCAAAAATACCACAAGAGCAAAAGCATAACAGTCCTCTCTTCCACAGCCACCCAGATAACCTCAACTCTGCCTTCTCAAAGAGACCACAAACGATAAAACAACTTACTTCTCTGTTGCAAATGCTACACCAGTGGCTGTTAGGAATACACGCTGACCCCGGTGCGTACAGCTCATGTCCAACAGGATAGTTAGTCTTGTGCCTTTTTGAGTATGCGAAACCAGATTTCAGCAGAAAGTGGGCTGTAGCCTTAACGATTAACTGCTTCGTAATTACAAGAAGTAATTGTTATTTATGAATGGAGGTAAAGTGCTCAGTGACAGCATTAAACCTCCAGCCAAGCAGCGTGCAAACTTAATGGCCCTAAAGACGGCAAAAAGCCG